CTGGAGAAAAATCAGTTAGGTGTGTGGATAAATATACCCTTAAAGGAATGACAATCTATGAGGAGCTTGGTGTACCATTAATTTAGCCTCAACTGTTCTACAAGGATTGCTTTTATGAATGAACTATCAACTTTGTAAGTAGTTTTGCAAAGTGGATATTGTTATTCAATAGTGAATTGACATCACAGAGGGTACTGAATAGCTACTGGACAGCAAGAACTTCACTGGTAATAATTTTTCTTACTTATAATTGAGAGTTTCTAATGTTTCAATTTGCAAAACTGACTAAAGGCATACTGACTACTAATTTGGAGGTCTCACAACTCTTCCTCACAACTTGTTTATTCTTAAGAACTTCTAAACCAGTAATTTGATTACTTTAATGGAGTAAGATTACTTACATCTTCAAGCATACACAATAATCGGTCAGGAAGAAAGGAGAATATCATGGAGATAGATCTTCTAAAATGGTATTTTTAAGATCTGCACAAAGGCTGCTCAGGTGTAAAGCAGACTGCTTTCTGTCATTTTCAATTCGGAACAGATCAAGGACATGGACAGATCAAGATCTGACAACATGTTTCTGGAATGACAACTGGATTTCTAAAGCATTTAGAAATCACAGGCTGCAAATCTATGGTTAATCCGAAGCATCATGACACATCCAGAAAAGCAAGAAACTTCACAAAGAACATGAAGATACTGAACTGTGTTTTTTAAAAAAGATTGAAAAGACTCACATACAGACCAAAAAAATACTGAAGTTATAAGAAAATAAGCAGTCTGAGAATGGGAGGGGAGTGAAGTATGATACGATAACTTCCTGGATACTCAATGCTACTTTTTCAATAAAAGACTCACTTCCTCTCCTCCCATTTCTACAGGGAAGAAACACAGAAATGCAAGTTGTACCATTAATTTTCTCAATCAACTCATCTTGCTTTAAACAGAACAGTATGATTTGTTAAGCCTACCTCTCACATTCAAAGTATCTTAGAAAAAGCCATTTCAACACACATGCATTTCCTCACCTGCCACTTAAAAAGCACCTACATTTTGAAGAGCACAACTAAGAAACATTAAATACCTCAAAAAAAAGTAATTATGCTGAATGTACATTCCCAAATTGGTCTTACTTACTCTGCTTACACCTGCATTTTACCTATGCTTCCTAAACCAGACAGAACCTTATACTCCCACCCACTCACTCCAGGCTAAGGTATCAGGGATCTTCTTTTGCCACTGCTAATGGTAACATTCCCTTATTTTGTCATACATATCTTCAAGGACAACCTAATACTTATAGCCACTTCTAACTTAAAGAGTTCCAATTAGCATACGTTCACGTGCAGAAAAAAAACACCTCATGGCATATGTAGGGAATTCACCAAATTTTTATTTTCCAAAATGCTCATCTAAAATGAAAAGCTTAAGTCTACAGCTTAGCAACCCTAAGCACCTAGCACAAATCAGCTGACATTACCAACTGAAGCACCCTTCCGGATATAGGATGAGGTAAGGGCTTGAAATAGCAAAGGAAATGAGGTTGATAGCCTATCTATTATTCTTCATGTAGAAGAACTAGTAGATACTGCCTGAGGCCAAACCACAAGAGCCTAAGAAAAAAAAAACATTCACATACCCTTTAGATTTTTTTATTATGACTAAAATAGTGATGGAAAAAAAATTGTCTGCAGATCCACTAGCCTTTTTACTGAGCTGTATCTTCCAAAAAAAAAGTATTTTTAGATATTTTAGATGTTCCACAATCAACTACTAAAAGAATAGGTACATACCCTACAAGAGAGTAGTGGTGGACAAAATCAGGATAATTTCTGAAATACTTTTATAAAAATTACATAGGATAAACAACAAAAAAAAAAATCACCCCAAGCCAAAAATTAGGAACCTTTTTCTACTTCAGATGAGGATAAGCTTTTAAATATATATAAAACTGCTTGGTTTAGATACAAGAACTAACTCCTTGATTCTAGTGTTTAGCACAGTGAACAACCATGTATTTCCAAGCAGCAAACTGAATTACTTGGACTACCAAATAAAAAAAAACAGGAATTAAATTTTAAGCGAAAAAAATCAGATGCTTTTTTTCATAGAACATATTTTGTTGCTAGTTTCATGCATTAAAAAAGTATCATTAAACCATGCACAGAACTGTACTTCAGCTGTTTGACACACCACATGTATATGAACTCATGCAACATACTGCAACTGCCAATTTTCTTTTCTCTGTTTAAATGAGTTGTCCACACAAGCAAGAAACAAATAATATTTTCAGAAATGCATGCTTTTGTAAGTATTTAAACTTCCTATAGCAAACAAGATATAAAATTATCAAACAAGACACATGACAGCATTCTTTTTAAACAGAATTATTTCTAGCAATAGATTTGTTAAGTATGGAAGGACTGGATAATTAGTTTTTTACTACCATCCATATGGATAACAGTATTGACAACTATTGTTATTCGGTGTTAGTAAAAGCGGGAAGGAGTAGGGAATGAATATTTGAACCGAGCAAATAACTGAAGAGCAAACAAGAAGTGAAGGTGAAAAGGCTTTAGAAGTTCTGTGTTTCAGTCACACAACCTCTAGCAATAAGTGAACTGCACAGCACCAAGAACTTAACAACAAACTGAAGTAGGTGCTCAGAAACAGAAGCACATCATGGAAAATTGCCCCAGAAAATAGAAGTAGGGAAGTCTGTTAAGAACTAATTCACTAGTCAGCAATTCATGCCTCTGCATATTTTCTTTTAATATCACACAAATAGCCACTGAATGTATTTGTAATTATTTTCCTTTGTGTCAATGTTCTGTACAGCTTTTAATCTTTAAAAGGCTTCATACATTAACATATGTAGCGTTACTAATTAATGATGTTGTGTATTCAACACTGACTAATAGTTTTTAAATTAGTCCAACGTCAGTATTCAGGGCCAAATAAAAGTCTTTTTGTTGCACATAATTAGAATCAGAAATGGTCAAAAACAAATACCTGACAACTCTGCTAGAAATGGTTTGCATATGAAATAAAACCACATTTCATTCTGGTAGATTTTAAGTATTCTGAGAAGCAGAAATTAACTGGAAGTACCAAAAACTGTCCTGTTCTGACAAACTCTTATTTTAACAACCTTCCACATCAAACACAACCTGCATGTAGCAGTTGATACAAAAACCTCTGTGGAAAGAGTCTAACTTTACTGAAAGCTCAACTTACAGACTTTTAAGGGTTTTATGAACTAAAAATCAGATAAATTAAGTAGTTCTATACTTAATCAACAGTCAACATAACTAAGAATGAAGACTAGAAATAAAATATAAAACTACAGTGGTGCTATGATAAACTGTTACATTCCAATTTAATCAGAAAACATTCAATAAACCCTGACAGAACAGAAAATCTCAAAGATGGGGAAAGGGAGGACAATCAGAGTAAAACTATCATTCAGATAGCAAGTCATTAATTAATACCTAGAGGTAGAATGCTTTTTTGTTTTAGAAGAGCATTAAGAAAAGGGTGAAAATAAAATTTTAAAAATCAGTGAAAATAAGAAAATTTTTATTTTTTTTTATAATTAAGTGTGTATTTGCAGGAGACAGACAGAATATATAACTAACACATGAAAAACAGCAAAATATTTTAAGTTAAATGGTTTACCTCCCCCCCTCTTTGTAAACTGCTACAGGACTTTTGGTGAAGATAATTCCTTCTATAACTAAAGAAGAGCTTAATAAAAATTGCATCAGAACAGGAGCAGTGAAGTAAGTGCATGTACTACCTTCCTAGAAAAACAGTAGCAAATCTGTGTGTAATGACTGACCCTGTTCATGACACTCACAAGCTGTTGACAGACAAGAATCTCAATGTATTGTGGATTTGCCTGGACTGTGAAAGGATTACAAACACAAGGATAAAGAACATTATGTATTTCCCCATCCTATTAGTACCATGCTCAACAAAGAACAGTAGTAAAGTGGAACACAGAATGCTTTTATGAGAAATAAGCAATTAACTCACAGAACAAAACAAACTGAAGGTTCACACAAGGGGAAAAAATAGAGGAGCTTACATTTGTGTAGAACCTTACCAGTGGACCTCAGTACATTTAAAAAAAAAAAAAATAAGGTCCCTGATCCCTGTTAAACTGCATGTTCCACTGACTCACACACAAGATCGATGATTCTTCCAGCACACTAGAATTTCACGACTTCCATTTAGACATTCAAGGACCTTAACACTGACCTCCAGATTATGCCAATTATGTAAAAACAAACAAAACTAGTAGGATGGAGAAACATGGGGAAATCATCTTATTTTTTCTATACCATTGAATTCCAACCTATCAAACGTTTTCCAAAGACAACAGAGATGTAACCTGTTTGCCTTCTAAGTTAGCGATGAACACGAAAAGCATCCAAAGTAAAATAACAAATATTCTTGTATTTCATTCTCTATGTTTCTATGGAACTACTACTATAGCTTTGTCAATTTAGAAGACAGAAAAATGCCACAGTAAGCAATCTATAGCAGAAAGACACGTCTTTAGAATAAGAACTGTACCTGAATGAGCCTTAAAGAAGATAGTCTAGCTTCTGGATTTCAGCAATGAAACAGTAAAGAAGTGAACATGCATGAGGTATGACAAAAAAACCCTAAGTCTATTTATAAAAAGAAGAAATGGAAGACACATGAACAAAACTAAGTTAAAGCAACATGAACTCTATCTAGGTATAGACATAAAACAGCCACCTGCTTTTCTAGCAAAATGCAAAATCACAGTCGGTTCCAAATACACAAAAGCCAAAGAAAACTGAAGAGCAGGTAACATCATCATATTGCACAATTAGGACAACTAATCAGAAACTACATGCTAATCATGCTAAAAAGCACCTTCTACAAGCTTAGAGACATCAGAGCTTTCTGTAATGACAGCCTACCATGCTGATACTTTGGCCAGAGAAGTTGAATTTGCTTACCTCCTGTAAAAGGTCTGCCTGTTCAATGGCTTTGAGAACATTTTTCTTGGAAGTCTCCTGAACTTCCCCTCCTAAAAGAAACTCATCCAGAATGAAGTAGGCCTTTTCAAAATTGAAGATGATATCAAGTTCACATACCTAAGAAGAACATCAAGCATTATTTCAAAATGAGAGGATACTGTCTATTGAGGATATCCTTTTACAAAACTTCACTCATTCACAGCTTCACCCAATTTCACTAAATCAAGATGTTAGCTTTAGGAAATAACCTTCTAAGAAGTGGTGCAACAAAGAAAAAAATATCAATCCTTTGAGAAAAAAACTAAACGAATTTATTTTTTTTTCTTGAGTTAAAAACTGTTACAGTAACTTCTCTGAAAAGAGTTTTCATTATTAGAAGGCTTCAATTCACAACTGTCAGTGTCACTTCATGAGGCAAGAGAATACGCCTATAAAAGTTCTCTTCTTGCCTACAGTATACAATGGCAGATCATGCAATCTTACAGAAAAATTTCAAACCATAATAATCACAAATTTCTTATTCCTAGTCAAGACTAGGAAGGCAGAAGGATGAGCACCAGCTTTTCTAAAAGTGCTAACCTACACTACTACAGCTACATGTATTTGCTATCTGGGTAAGCAGATGTCTGTCTTGTCTTTTCTTACCCCTCCTACTAGTTCACAACCAACTGCCTCCTTCAAAAGAAGGTGTAAGTACTCACACACCAGAGCAGTGCCAGGGACAAGAAAGCTGGGCACCTAGACAGAAAGCTAAGGATAAGATTTTATCTGACCTCAAGTGATACTACTGCAAAATGATACAAATACATGCAATTAACACCAGACATTAGTCTTCTCCCAAATTAGTAATTTTGAATTTTAACAGATACATAGGCAACTTTCAGATTGGCCAAGAAAGCTACATAAAATGTTACATACACATTTTAAATACCTAGGTTATCATGTTGTGTTTTTTTGAAGTGCTGTGGGCATAAAACAAAATGATGTATTATAAAGAGATGTGTATCTACAAAAATTTAAAAATTACATACACTGCCAAAGTACTTGTCAAGAAGTTCTACATAGCGATGAATTATTTCCAGAGTTATTAGTTCATTGTCCTGATCTTCAATAGCACAGCAGAAATAGAGGCTTGCATACCTGTAATAAGAAAATAATCCTGATTTTAGCATAAGAACATGAGCAAAATGAATGAACGTTCCCAGCACTCCTTCATACTACCAAAGAATGGCTGACAAACCAGAAGACATTCACAGGTACAAAAGGGATATGACTCCTTGAGTCAGTCAAGACTTCAGCCTTAACCATCCTTTAGTAGTGGCTCAAAAAGGAAATGGTTTTGATTTTTTGGCAGCCTGACAAGAGTTCAGAGGCCAGATACTTTCTCTACTACCTGTACGATCCAAACACTGGTACACTAATCAACAGATTCAGTCTTTAACTTGTATCAAGACAAGCTACACAGAGAGATACAAAAACTACAGAAAATGGCTTGGGAAAGATAAATTTAATTAGTAACTGGGATGTGGTCTTTATTATAGAGAATTTAACAAATGCAAAAAAACTCTCCAAAGTTAACACTGATGTCACATACCCCAATTGCTATTACTCAGCAACTCCATCAGTACCAACTGTTCTGGCATCAAGACTAACACCAGGCCATCAGCTAGTTTCTAGCAATCCACTTCCACCTTGCAAGACTCAGAATTCTTTACTTCAGATATGACCTTGAGTTCCACTTTAACAAAGAGAGCATCCAATTCTATTGTGCCATACCATACACTCAATCAGGTAATGTTTAAAGAAAGTTGATGCAAAAAGAAAAAAATAAATGAAAGTTGAAAAACCCATTTAGTCTTTTCTAAAGTGCCAAAACCTTATGCCAGTTATGCTTGTAACTGGTGATTTACATGAACCATAAACAGCTTTTGTTTGCCTGTTTAGAGAAGACAGCTGACCACATTAAGCACTCTGAGTAGCCAACCCTATTGCAAAAGAAGTTATTCAGATGTGAATGCCAAGCTTAAGATGCTTATTTGTTTCCCATACACAGGAATGCAGGCAACAATTGTATACATTTTATCATCTAGGACTTCGTAAGCCCCCAGATAAACACGGGTTTTGGCTTGAAGTATTGCAAAACAGTCCTGTGTTTTGTACTGTGTTGAGATGTATCTCCCAGCTGCTCAGAGCATCATTTATGACCTGAAAGTCATATGCCCCACTCTGTTCTAGCCAAGTCAAATTGCTATGGTTTCATCATGAACTACTCAGAATTCTTCAAAAGTTTTAAACTATTATTAAAAAAATTACTGCCTACAACTTATTTCCATCCTAGCACAAAACATAATGGAGAGGGCAGGAGGGGAGGGAAGAGAGGCAGACACCTCAGTGAAACACTTAACACTTTACTTCCCTTGCTTTCATCTCTTCACCATCGTGACTTACCATCAGAAACACTGTCTGAGCACAGTTAATTTGATTTTACACTGTTGTGTTTGCGCCTTGCTAATTCTTCAAGGATATTTAACAGTCATTGTAGCTTGCAAGATTCAATCTATATAAAGCATCTTTTATACAAAGCTATTTCTAAAATTACTGGAAAGTGATACTATAAAAAAAACCTGAATGCTTCCCATCCTACTGAGAAATTTATAAGTCAAATTCCATGTTGTTGTATTTCATTGTCGGAAAAAAAAGAGCTTTGGCACGTTAGTTGACATTTACAGTAATTACCAGCACTCAGGCCAAATTCATCTACACAAAGCTTTCTTCATATTCAGATGAGCAGCACTGATTATAGTGCACTTCAACTGTTCCCTTACAGTGCTTAAACATAAGGTCTGTTGGTATGTGATTCAGCTTATCAAGGCAAATTTGACTCAAATATTTGCAGTTTATCTACATGGAAAATCCTTTTGTATGTCTATTACTTAACAGTCACTTCTAATGCACACAATTATTTTACGCAAATACTCCAAAAAAACAGGAAGGCAGGGGGAAGGAAGAGAGGGGGAGACTACTTAACATAAAACACTTTCCCAAAAAGTGGTCTGCTCTCAGTGTCCTCATTTAAGGGAAAAAGTACCATACTTTTGGAAGAATTTCTTTGGCAGCTAGTGAGTGGACTACACACTCAAGGTCTGCCAACTGCAGTTTTGGATGAATAATATTGAAAAAAACCTATCAAGTGGGTATCTTAAGACTAAATGGAGGCCTGGGTATCTAAAATTTATTATACACAGATAATATGTGAGGTATTTTTTAAGCAGCAGCTGTGACTAATGGATCATTACATAACAAAACAAAATAAATGCAGACTCAATAAGCCTACGTGGCAAAAACCAGAAGAGCATACACAACAGCCACAACTGCAAAGGGCATGAGCACACTACAAAGGACTGTACCTTTCTTCAGACCCAGTTTCTCAAAAGCTGTATGTTATTGGAATTTTTTCCCCTGCAGGACAGGGCTTCAGAAAAAAAGTGTCTACATATAATTTACAGCAGATAAACTAGAGGTTTTGCCAAGCACAGAAGCTGAGATGGATGGAGTCCATTCCAAGACCATCAGATCACCATACTCGATTTGAAAAAGATTTCTGCTCTACAGAAGCTTTGTTTCTTCCTAATGAACCTGACAGAAAACCACATGCAACCAGTGAAAAGGCAAATCCTGATAGTAAAGTATGACACATGATAACAACCAACTGTAGTGCAGTCTGGAAGAAACATCCTGCTCTTTTAATTCCTATTACCACTGTGCAGGTATGTTGGTTTTTGTTTCCTCAGTAGATACTAGTAGCAGAATCTTCACTCCAGATCAGGTCCTTACACTCGTTTATGGACATCTCATTATAAATATCTTCCACTTGTCAGAAAGAGACACCAAAAACAGTCTGGGAAAGTCACCAAAAAAATGTAGTAAGGAAGAACAAACCAAAAAAGAAACAGAAGATGTAAATACTCATACAAATTCCTGCCTTGGTGGTGGTGTTTTTTTGTGGAAGGAAACAAATCCATGAACCTCCCCCTCAACAGTGACAATAGCTCAGTAGCGAGAAGCGTCACAATTGGCAGACAATACTTCAGCAGAGTCCTCCACTGCTACACTGCTCACAGCCAGCTTCAGTAATTCTGCCGGGGAATCAGGTCATTGAAGGCAAAGTATAACCTGCAAATCCTATCAGTTCAGTGGTGTTTTCCGACTAGATCACAGGACAATTGCTTGAGGTCATCCCTGGAAGTGTCGTCAAATAAAGCTGCAAGCCCGTAGGACCACCTGTCTGCATCTTAGTCACACTGGACGTAAATTTTAACTGCAGAAATTTAAAGCCTACAGAGTTTGGCAGGAACAAAGCTGAACTGCAAATGACAACCAAGCTGTCTTCAAGAGTCAGCTGCTTAAGGGAGCCCAAGAATCTGGGGTTTGGTGACAGTTTACCACCGCTGACTCAGTAAAAACTGGGACCACAGAGATTGTTCCTGGCCATTTCTTTTCCTAATCCAGAAAACTTACATAATAAAACAAGAACTTCTGAGACTCTAGGACTGGCAGATCAGTCACTATTCAATCAAAGATACAGAAATCAACAATAACACTATCCAACAGAAGTCTTTCTTTTACAGTTTCTCATTCCAGCAAGGCTATACCCTTTAGAAATTAACATAAGCTTGGTATCAATAATTATCTAAAAAAACAGCTGCTGCTTTTTGATGCTGAGGTCATCCTAGGGGCATGTGAACCAACATCCTATACAAAGACAACCTGATCAACTTAAAAGAACCAAACTAAAGTACCCTATGCACTTTGGGAATTGCATTTAGTCAGTTTTACAGAGCCACTTAATCAACACCATAGTAACTTTTCTAACAGATCCTACTATCCAGGTAAAATCTACTTAAAAGAAACATAGGGATCATGTAAATTGCCACTAACCACATGACTACACCGTAGTTCAGAGTGTTTTGTACCCAAGAGGCACACTACTCACAGAACGCACTCTTTTTTTCTTGCAGCAGGAGGATAACAAGAAAGCTTTAAAATTCACTTTCCAGTAAGTCTTTAATGTAACTTATGATTATGGTTATTTTACGTTGAACTGTAAGGTGATTGCCACAACATTGTGGACAGCACAAGCTATGACAGTTGTGTAACCTTATATTGCAAACACAGTTCCAAACTGACACATAAAAGCAATGCCAAAATGTTTAATGAAATTACCAATCAAGAATAATCAAGTCACAAGGTCTAAGTAAATCAAATGCTAACAAAGTAAAAATTACATTAAAAAACAGTTATTCTGCAATTTCCAATTTTGACTGCAGCATATTACTCAATTGAAATAACTAATACTACTAATACTAACTACTACTACTAACTAATACTAACTACTAATACTAAATAACTAATACTACCAGAAGCTAAAGTATTAAAAAAGCTAAAACAGCTGAGATCGTAAAAGAAAACAAAAAAGCGGGGTGGGGGAATCATACATACATCCTACCTTAAGCTCCTTTTTTAAAAAATGAGAAATGTTAACATTTCACGCATTTCTCTGTCACAAGGGCAAGGCTGCATGAATTTCTACCCCATATTCTCCAATACTAGTACTGCTAGTTTTTTAAATTACAAAATCTGAAAAGCAATAATTGTGTTTGCTAAGTTTCTAATCAGCTGTCTGCAGATGACTCTCTATTTCCATAAAGTGCAGTTGTTACTGGCCTCCCATATTTGAATTTCTTTTTTCCAGCAAGTCACTTAAAATCTGTTCATCTCTAGAAGCTGGAAGCTCACATCCTTTTTCAATAGTAATAGTATCTATCAGCCTGAAAACCTCTCTTCCAAACTAACTACAGAATACATACATCCCTGTTAGCGAACTATGTCAAAAGCAGGGCACCTTTTCCTCTTAAAGTAAAAATTAAGAAGGCAATGACTGATCCTATTTTGCAACCATTATCAGTGCTACTTGCATAAAACCAAGGGAAGTAAGTTATTCACACACATTCAGATGGATTTTAAAGACACTTAGTTATGCTCTCTTGAAGTTTAATTCAGAAAGCATCATATGAGGATAAAATGGTCCCAAGCGAAGGAGGCTAATCAAAATAGTCCAGCTTTCTTGATAAATGTTAAGTATCAGAAAGCAGCAAAAGCTACTGGGTTGCCAATTTTGCATTTGAGTTCATTCTGTTCTTGCAAAAAGGTACATCAATGAGACCCTTGAGTATAGTTCTAATAATGCCAACCATTCTTTGAGTCGCAATATCTAGGTCAATTCTCTCTTATGTGTTGGCAGTAAATACACTCTAAAAACAAGAAGAGCACATCAATTTCAGCAATTTAAGACTCATAATGGCAATATGCACCTACAACATGTACAACAGCACTATGTACATACTTTCATAGCTTATGAAAAAACATTTGCATCAGAGTGCAAGATCCTTCCCAATTAAATGAGAAAAAGACAGATCTTCGTAGAGATGCTCAAGGGCCTTTTATCTGCAAGCAACTGGGAGCACCTTTTGCAATTTCACAAACCACATCACATTGCTGCAGGTGTATTGCTCTTTTAGCCACTCATCTTTCAAAAAGTATTAGTCTTCAACTACTATAGTTGTCTTCTTGGAACTACCTATATTTAAGCTATAACCCATCACTCTTTTCCAAGAAATCATACTAGTTCGTACTCATCAACTTTAATTATGGTGTGATGATTGGAAAAAGTCTGTCCCATGACCCTTAAAGCTGTTAATGTTATCAGACACAGGAATTTAAATACCCAGTCGTTCTGGTAATGTTTTAGCCTAATGAAACTTGTCAAAAAAGCAAGATTTGAGATGTTCATTAGCTTGAGACACGCTAATCTTAAACAAGATTTCCTAGGCTGTGTCATATTAGTTTGCAGTGAAATAAACTACTGCAGTCAGCTGTGCACATCAGCAATCTAGCAGATGGGACTGCAGTCTACATCCAAGCCCAAATGGTCTAGATACATCTCCCAGCAAATTTCTTCATTGTCCTTGAACACAGACCCACAGCACACTACCAAGATGCATGAACAACACAAGTCTCAGCAACTCAGTTGGTCATACTCAAATTTCCACCAAGAAATAAGCAGGCAGGGAAGGAGAGCATCTGTGTGGAATCAACTCACCACCAGAACAGTTACTGCTGGTCAAGACTGGCCAAGGAAGAGAACAGACTTGGCCTAATAGTCATGCCTAATTTTTCTGATCTAGTCTCATAAAAGCTCACCTGAAAGACCACTTGCAGACATTACCACTACAGAAGCACATAAAGCATTTGAGCAAGCTCATCAACACGTATAAACAAGAAGTTTTGAGAGGACATTGAGAGAAAGACAAGAAAACCCTGTGCATGCTTTCTTTAAGCACAGCTTTACAATTTTTTCCTTTTCCTTGTGTTAATGAACTACATGCATTAGATTGGTAACATTCATGTCCATGATGTTGCGTGCACCAACATATATATGAAACCAGGACTTAAAGCATCTAAACCTTTTTGATTCTACCCTTTTGGTACACTGGAAAAGAGTTACAAACTCTGCATTTCAGGCCCAGTTCTCTCTGTCCTCTCTACAAAGAGAATACAACAGTATTTATTGTAGGGCACAAATTATTTACCATATCAAAGAGACAACAGGAATGCATAAACATTCCACAGTTTAAAACTAATTAGGGAACATAATTCAAGGTTTGGCAACACCAGGTTTAGCTGGAAGAGATACAGCCTACCAAATCAGAATGAGGATTACTATTATTTGTGGAGAAAATTTCACACCTTCATGTTGTAATACATTCTAAAGAATACAATCACAGAGCTTGCCACATATTCCAAGAAAACTTAGGGAGTAACTGGAAAATTAAACTATTGCAAAGAAAATTATACAGTGCTTCCATCAAATGAAAGCTAGCTATGATTTTTTTTCAATTAGGAGAAACACATTTCTGTATTCAAAGCAAAAAAATAATTAATAAGAACAATAAAAATCCAAAATTTATTCTCTGAAAGAATTATTTCCTTATTTCTGAGTGCTTAAAATCAAGCTACATTTGCAAGTTATTTATGAATTTACTGCCTAAGGTAAATGTTTATAAGATTCCAGTTTTCCTTATCATCTGTTAAATCTTACATGCTTCATAACTGTATGCATTTATGTACTGTAGGAACCTAAACAGATAACTAAACCACAACTCCTTATTAAACTCTTCATTTCTTTTCTTCAGCACATTTCTAAACGCATGAGTGATTTTCCACACATGAATGATTCCTACACGGTTATCAAATTAGATTAAAGGGAAAAGTCAGTGTTCTCCATAACCAGCAGAGGGAAGGGAAAAAAACTCACAACAAAAACAAACAAATAAAAAACCCAAACAACCCACTAAAAATCACCCTTCATTATTGTCTTGCTACTTATTACGCTGTTTGGGATGTATGGCAATTACGAGGTTAGTGAGACAGAACAACCTTTTGTAGACAATCTTCAGGTCTCTCCATTCCAGGAAGCTGCACATTTTCGGTTTGCGGGCTAATACTGTTTGAACAAGTTCCCTTGTGATTTTCTTCTTTTCTTTGTCAGATAATGGGACATACCACTTCTGCAGTCTCAGTTTCCCCTGGCGACTAAAAAGCAACATAAACTGCATCTGTTGAATTGGAAGGAGGAGAAGAGAAAAAAAAAAAAAGGATTAATCTCAGTCTCTTAGTTCCAAAAAGATTGCTGCGAGGAAAACCAAACAGGAAACAAGATAGCCATACAAAAGCCTATCTACATTATGTATATCTATAGCAGTGCCAGATGTTACACAAGATTGGGAAGTACTAATAATACAAAAGATTCTGCTGAACAAGGTCAGTCAAAGCAAAGGCAGTAGAAAGGATACGAACAGGGTTCAGAAACGGGTGTCAGAACCACATGGTAGCGACTAAATACACCTAAATCTCAGACAAACGGTGTCCAGCACTGGTGTGCTCCCCTCTGCGTTTACTCCAGAAAACGACAAAACCAGAACAACTCAGCACAGCCACTTCCTCAAATACCCAAACTCACTTTCAATGCACCGGATTAGAGCTCTACAGCAGGAGCAATTTACACTTACGATCTTTCTGAAAAGCCTTCAGGATACTTTAAAAGGCATTAAATCTCCCGCTGAAGAGTCCTACGGCACAGAAAAGCCCGGCCTTTTCTCACATTACACAAAAGAAGAGATTAAGTCCTTTCCCTGCGGTCCTATGTTCCAGGTCTCGCTTCCTCTAAACGTGTGATGCTGCAATTATATTTCAAGAACTTGTCGGCTGCGTTTCCAGCAGCTGTAAGATTGACGGAAATGAGGTTTGTTGGGTTGTTTTTTGTTGGGTTGTTCTGGTTTTTTTTCCCCCTTTTTTGCTCAAAGTTATATTGAGCTGAGGAAGTTTCCCAGGCAGTATGACCGAGGTGAAACACGGCGACAAAGCCCAGCCTAGCCCCGAGTGACAAGCCCGACCAGCGCCGGCACAGCCCAGGGGCGCCGGCAGCGGCTCCGAGGCTCTCCGGCCGTAGAGGAGCCCACAGAGCCGCGCTCCC